CGGATACAGTAGAGAAAACCAGAAAATATGGGACTTCAAAACCCCTGGGATTGTACAGCTTTTGCAGCCAAATGGACTTGTCAAACACTGACCAACTAAAAGACCAGACAAGAGACCTTCGTCAGACTTTGTCGAGACCTCTTGAATCTGTGTGGTTTCGGATTAAAAACCGAAATGTCTCCGTCGGCTCGGAAGACTCCAACAGCTTGGATGTAACCGATCTATCCTGCCTGATTGTGGTTTGTTCACGGATGGATCGTCCGATAAACGACTGTACTGGTTGTATCGTCTGTCAGCAAGAGTCCCCTTCTCATACCAGTCTAATGAATTGGTTCAATCAAGAGTTGCGTCGACCTGAAGGCAAATACGTCCAGGATATAATCTTGCACAAGCCCGATAGTGACTGAAGACTGTATCCTGAGGACTAATTTAAGAGACGTGCAAAAAGGATGAGGGTTGGCCTTCGGCGCATCTCCTGCTCTATGGGCTTCGAGGCTACCAAGTCAAATTCGGTCGGGAGTTTGTCGGTGACCGACTTCAGTGATGCGGCGAACTTGCTACACAGAGCCTGCAAAATAATTGTTAATTTTTTTTAATTTTTGTAATTTATTGCTAGTTTATTTACCAGAACAGACGCACCTGAATTTGAAAGCTAAGTCGGAATAAATTCGGAACAACTTGGATTTTCTTTGCATCTTCTGACAGAGTGTTTAACTGTTGAAGAGTTTTTAACCTCGGGTGGATATATCTTGGTAAATAAACTAGCACTGAATTACGAAAATCTAAACAATATTAATAAAGTTACTCACGGTGATTGGAAGAGCAGTCGTGCGAATGACGCAGACGCGTGGTTGTCGGGTTATAAGCGAAAAGGAACAGGGGGCAGCGAACAAAGAACGAGGGGAACCAACGAATGCGAATACAGCAAACGATTTCAAGAGGCATAGGACGGGGTGAATCGATGGATGACTATGTGGGAACAATGGACACATGCTTCGGCTAAATCGGGTTATTAACACGCAGTAAGTAGCAAATAAAAAGAGGAATATGACATGGACAGACTGAATGTCACACTTAGTTATGACATTACAAGAAAATTTAATGTTAAAATATTAGTCTAGTGGATACAGAGGTCATAAAGCGATGTAAGGTATTAGGTCACTTCGGCACCAAATACCAAATGGCACTACATATACAACGGAAGCCGTCTATTATTTGAAGGCACGAACTTAAGGAGACAAGTTCAACTAAATAAATCACATGTTTCAAGCTCAAAAAGCTAAAGATGGAGTAGGAGGCTTAGTTTCGTTCAGGGATTGTACCAGCAATGTCGCGAAGCCAGAAAGATTAACACTTTGACCGCGACGTGCGCCATATGTGGTACATGCAATATGGCAAACTACGGGCTATTTTTGGGAGTCGCAGTCAAAGTGTTAAGGTACGAATTTTAATTCCGCATTACCGATTTTTTTAATCAATAACTAAATTTTTCTTCTTACGTAAGCCAGAACTGACGGTGAACAGAAATCACTATACGGATTTAGGCCTTTATGACATGTCGTACGGCGGCACAGACCCACTAAAATAATCACCTACCTAGCGAGTTTACGGAAGGTCTCTCTTATGTCTCTTTACGAAATACTGGGACAGAAGTAAAAATAGAAGATATACACTAGCTTACCTAGGAATTCGACTAATCCACAAATGCGGTTTAACAATATAGCACACATCCGCCCATCTGAAATAAAGGAATAAATTGGGAAAGTAACTGGCACTAATATGAAATCGAAAGAGCTTATTATGCAAGAATTTTCAATTCTAATCAGGCAGTAAATCACGTTTTGATACGGATCTAAGCTGGTTAGTTCCCCATACGCAGTGAATATGGATACTAAAGAACCAGTAAATCTAAAGGCCTACGCTGCGTATACGTTAAGGATGATGATAAGGTGGTTGGCATACCAAAGCGAAACGTCAGTCACTCACAGACTGATCAAATTTTACTTTAGATACCACCAATAAGA